AAACCACTAAGCATAACAGGGTAGATAAAATTCTGTGTTCTGTGTGGTCATGGTGGTGGTGGTGGTGGTGTGGTCCCAGACCTGAATCACAAAATTATAATGCGATCCACATGTCATCACGTGGCTATAAAAGGTGGTATATGATGTCACTTGCATATAAAATTATAATGATGGGTTAAGCACAAATGCTTAACCTTGACTACAATTCAAGTAACCCAATTTAGAAATAAGCTTGGTTAGATTAGATCTATGAAATGTTACGTCGAAATCCGCAGCCAATGAATAATCTGATTTTAATGGCATTACTTTATAAATTGATTCCGAAACACTTCTTAAAGTTTTCTGAATGATTAATTTTTTTTTAAAAAAGGAAATTTATATTAAAAATAATTTACATTCACTTTTTCAGAAGCATGATGAATTTTTTAGAAATTTAATAAATTTTTTTGGACTAATGTTTTTATAAGCTTTTTGGAATAATTAATTTTTTAGAATATATCTAAAAAGTTAATTTCAGGTTTCTGAAAAATCTTCATAAAGATCAATCCCAAAAATTTTATTATTAGTTTTTCAAAATTTATTTATATTAATGATAATATTATTATTTTATGTAAATGTGGGTGGGTAGGAAGAAACACTTTAAATGAATCAGATCAATTTTGATCTATCCATTTAAATAATTATGAGTAAGTTTGTCTTATAAAATAATAATTATTTTTAAAATAAAAATATTAATAATATTATTTTATTAAAAATATATATAATTTATAAATTAATTTGATAAAATATAATCATTAGAAGAATATATAAATAAATGAATATATTTTTTAATTTATATATTAAATTATTATTTAAAATAAAAATTAATTTTATTATTATTATTTTATTAGTGGTAAAATTATAAATATATGAAAGAAATCAAAAAATGAAAAAAGATCGTTAAAAGACTATGTTGATAATTCAAGATATTGAGGAGTTAAGAATCAATATTAATTAAAGAAGAACGTATAAAAAAAATATAAATTTATTATGATATTTTGAATTGAATGGATAAAGTATATGAATTTATAGCCATATTTATAATAATATTTATAAAATAAAAATAAAAAATGGATTTTTAATTTTGATAGAATAATAGATATAATAAAATATAAATTTTTCTATTCTTTTCTCTATTCTATTTTTTTAGAAAATTTCCATTTGTTAAAATATTATCCTTGTCTTTGTTTATGTCTTGGATTGAAACAAATTACTATAATTCGTCCTCGTCTTCGAATTAATCGACATTTTTCACAAATTTTACGAACCGAGGCGTTTATTTTCATATTTGCCATTCCTTAATAAGTTAATCCCAGATTTTGGAAGAGAATAAGGTTTCCTTACATTTTTGAACTTAGATTTGTGGTCTTTTCCATAAAATGAAAAGAATGTTGAGATTCAAAAACATCCTAATTCATTTGAATGACTTATCTTTTTTTTCTTTCCTTATCGTATGTCCAGAAAAAGTATGTTGAATCGTTTTGGAAACATAGCCTATAATAGAAATAAAAATCCAAATGGATAAGTTATTTATTTAGTAATTAAATCTTCGCGAATTTCCCCCTTTTTATATTAGAATTCCAGTTAAATCCCTTCTTACACTCACAAATATATATATATATATATATATATATATATATTTGAGGGGTATAGTATGTACTTGTTATGAATTTTGAAAAGAGAAGTGAATTCATTAAATGAAATAGTAGCGTGAATATGAGATTGAATTCCAGAAAAATCAATCTAAAAATGCATTTTAGATTGAATGTTTCAGATTATTTTTTTAGAGAAGTCAATCTAAAAATACATTTTAAACTGGATATTTCAAAATATATTTCCAAAAAAGCTAATTTAAAAATACCATATTCAGAATATATTTTCGGATTGACATTTTTAGAAACATATTATAGATTGGATGTTTTGAAATGTGTTTCCGAACAGGTCAATTCAAAATATATTCCAAATATGAAAATAAGTAGTATAAGGTTAAAATGAAATTTAATATAATTCTAGGAGTACAGGAAGCAACAGTCGAATAAAAAAAAATCATTATAAAATAAAAAATGACCCAAGAAATATACGGTACTAACTTAGAATTTGACTATGACATGTTGCAAAACTCGTATATAAGTAAGTTGTACATGTGACGATGTGCATTGAATTATAACTATTCAAAAAAATTGAATATTACACAAATTATACGGACTAATGCTAAAAGAAACTTGACAATTTCAACTCTTTTTTCGTGTTTTTTTTCAACGAATTTTACTCTTTTAAGAATGATACAAATAAAAGGCTAAATGCTAAAAGAAACGAGTACATATTCGTTTATAAAATTAACTTTGGCGCTGAAGTCAATATTTTAAAAAAATTTATAGGATTAGAGAAAAAATAATAAAATAATATTTACTCTCTAACTGAATTTTTTATATAAGATCTAAAAGAAAATAATAAATAAATAATATAATATTAAATAATAATAATATATTAAAAATAACATATTGATATATAACAAAAATCAAATATTAAAAGATATTAATTAAATATGTAAAAAAAAATCATATTCATACATTTTGAAACTTAGTTGAAATATATCATTTAAACATATATAAAATTTGTTTATCTTTAGATTTTAATAATAAAGATGACTATTATTAACTTCCTTTTAAATTCAACTCGCGACTTTGAAATAATTTATCATCTAACATTTCTCTCTCTCACACACACACACATATATATATATACATATATATATATATTTTTATTTTCATCTCAAACCTAAACTTACACCTTCATCTATTTCATGGACATTCTTGATTTAATCTCTACTTTTAAATATTATTTTTGAAAAATAAAAATAAAACAATTAAAAGATGTCAAGAGTCTATCTCAGTTAATGGAGTAGAATGTATAAATTGTGTAAAGTTCCTTGAATTCAAGTGAAAAGATGGTTTGAAATTTTTTTTTTCTAAATTACATCTACAGTAATGAAACCATCACAATTAATACTCCTACTTTATAGATGGAATCTTCAATTTTAATAACTAAAGAAAAATCATTATTTTATTGTCAAATCTACTAAGACAATGTTTATATTATTCAACTATTGTAATATTAATAATGTAAAATGTTTCTAATCACCACCTAAAAGAAATAAAAGAAGTCTTGAGCCAAAACATGTGTTGGCCTCACCTTAATTTGCGTTTGTTTCACATTAAAGTTTAGGTATAACTAATGGGTAGTTATTATATAGAGACATTTTTTCTTGTCTTTTATTTTCATTCTTATAAAATCAAGTTATTTCGGTCCGGTCCCTGTTATAGAATTAGAATAAAAAAAATTATAAAATGAATGAATTAATTAGATGAAATAGAAAAGAACCAAAATTAAGGGTGACATAAAAAGATGGAACTAAACAAACATGTGTCTCCCTTGATGAACATTCATTGGAGAGTACATAAGCCGAACCAACCAAAAATAGGGTAGGATTTTAGTATTTAGTTCCAACAATTAGTTAATTGATGGTGAAATAATGCTAATTTCGTTGACCAAAGTAGCAAACAATATGTGTTGTAACTAATATAGTTGTGTACAAAATATAGTTAAATTAAATTCCTCTTCTTCATTTTTTTCAAATATGTTTTCTTCTTTTCATGAATATGATTTTTTTTATGAATATGTTTTTAAATGATATTTTTATATTTTTATTTCCATTGAATATCAATATTAAATTTTATACTATTGATTTTAATACATTAAAAGATGTAACTAAAAAAATATATAGATATTTTATTATATTTTTAAAATTTATTTTAGCTTGTTTTTGGATCAAAATTTGTAATATAATTGTAGAAACGAGGAACATGTTTAGAAAGACGGTGGGTGTTTATTTATGTTGATTTGACTTTAGAATAAGATTTGGTAGGACTTATTTATTAAAAGTACTTTCATTTATGAGAAGAAAAATGTGAAAATACAAATATAAATATGAAAAATGTCAATATTTCTGAAAAGAATATTTTATTTTATTCTCATATAATAATAATTACATTAAAAATTAACACAACCATTAAAATTATTTTCACATTGATAAAAAATAAATTAGATAATATAATATCTAATTTTATTCTTCTTTTAAATTTTGTCAATAACATTGTTATTTAATACAAATTTATTAAATTAAAAATTAATATGTTCAATAATTCAAATTTTAGAAAAAATATTTACACTGTATCCTCTTAAAACAAATTTCTACCACCTATTATTATTAAAATAGAAAAATATATCTATGGGATATCATAAGTTTGTTTATAATTTTATATGCAAATTAATTTTATTTAATATAAATTTTTATCTATTTTTAAAAATAATTATTTTATAATAAATTATATCTTAATTTTAATTTATATTTTTAATTAAAATTTATGATAAAAGTATTATAATAGTTGATCATTTTATTTTATTATTTAATTTATCTTTAATTAATTATATGAATTTTATCTTTTATGAATTTTTCATTATTTAAAATATTACTATTAATTTTGTGAATTTTAAAAAGAAACTATTTTAAAATTTGTAAAAATTACAGTTAATATTTAAAATAGTTATAACGACGTAAACAATAAATGAAAAAAAAACTTACATAATATATATATATATATATATATATATATATATATATATTGTTTCTAAAAAATAATAGATTTTAAATTAAAGATGTTTGAAAACAGGAAAATAATAATCGAATTAATATAAAATGAAAATGATGTTGCGAAGCCATCATGTGGTGTGCGTTGATAGGACTGATAATGTTATTATTTGACGTGAGGTGAAATGAGAATATTAACAATCCATGACTTATTATTTAAGACGAGATATTTTGAAATAAAACAAAAAAATGATCATAAATATATGGATTAGGAGTTAATCCAACATAAAACCAAACAATGGAGGGGATAAAATTAAGAAGGTTGTTTGGGTCTTACTTCAATGCCTTCAAGGATAAGTCCACCCTTCAATTGATAACCCACCTCCATCAAACTCATCCTAACTTCTTCATCCTGGTGGCCACTGAAGAACTCACCCACCTTAATTTCCATCCACCCATCTTCTCTTTTTGCTGCAACTCCAATCACCTCCTCTTCCATGTTCAACACCCTCTCCTTCGTAACCTTCTTCTCATCTTTCCTGCACAGATAAACCCTCCCACTCTGCACTGCCACTTTGTTCCCCACTGCAACACATACCTCACACGCCACACAATCAAGCCCGTACTCGCGATGCGAAATTTTCATTATCAGATGAACCTCATACCACGTGTTCGGTGTTAGAATCCTCGTCCAAATCTTCCCTCGAATCTCTAACCAGCTCACCATTCTCAGCTCCGCCACCTCTTTGAACCTGCACGATTGTTGAATTAATGGGCCATGCTTGTTAACATTGACCAAATCGAGTACAACAAGAAACTAAAATATTATTCATTCATCTTTTAAGTGCTGTGTTTTGACTGCTTCACGTTGAGAGTCAAGAGTTGAAATTAGGAAGTCACATTAATTAACGAACAAACTCACACCCAATGAAAGATATATATATGTTGAATTTCAAATATAGATTATGGAAGTGAAGCTGAATTAATTACCTTGATTCGGGGGTGGATCTCCAGGACCAGTACAAGGGGTCAGTGCTCCACGTTATTGACAATTGTCTTGCGGATAGGATGTAAGATTTTTTACCGGAAGACTTGTCTAATTTGAAGCTCTGCATGTTGAATATAGAGGATGAAAATATAATCTGTAGGAAATGAATGAAAGGAATTAGATAGTAGAGGTGTTCGTATAAGTATACCATGTTGCCATCATCTATGAGAAGTGGATGGCAAAGAGAAAAGAAGAGGTGTTTGTAAGAAGAGGAATCGAGGGTGTGGGGAGAGAGAGCCCGAGAGAGAATGTGAGGGTAATCAGAAGGGAAGAAAGTTCGCCAGAGGAGGTCAGAGTCAGCGGCTGAACGCATGACACAAGACACCATTGAGAATCTACATGCGTCGGGTGGAGATGTGTGCGACAGGATTTTTGAAACACAATCTTCCGGCAAGGAATCCATGTTTTTAAGATTTCGGAGTTAGGAGAAAGGAAAGATGATTGTCAAAATAAAATGAAAGCGTGTGTCTTTTTTTTTTTATAGCCACAGGGTGACCAGGGTTGTGTTGTGATGCGGAGGTTTCTTCTTCGTATTCTTAAATTGGGCAATTGAACAGGTGTCATGTTGACCTTTGGTAAATGTCTAGCTGTCCACTCTTTGGAAAGAGATTAATTAGGCTGCGCTTCATCTCCAAATCGTTGCACCAATATTATAAACCTTATCAATTAATAACTGTTAATCACTGATAATTCTTTATTTTCATTTTTTATTATTTTCACTTTGAATTGGGTACACTGAGACGCGTCACAAATAATCATTACTCCTGTGTCTATTTCCACTCATTAGCATCTGTAATCTAATCTAACTATTTGGAATTCTTTATAGTCAACGCCCAATTTTTCTAATTACTATTATCGTAAGATAAAATTGCGAAATTCATTTTCTTAAAGCATAAAACATACCACATGAAATCTTACAAAACATTATGTTATTTCAATATTTGGAATTTACTTCAAAACATTATGTAATGAAGGGGATTAATTAAGTAATTAATTAATTAATTAAAGTGAGAGAGCACGACAGAAAAGAAAGCGAGATAATATATTATTTGTTTAAGGTGCATGAACCAAGTTTCAATCTTGACACGTTCTTTTTTATTTTTTGCGGTCCACAAAATTCAGATTGTATTCACGTGGTTTATGCATGACGATTTAGAAGGATGAGCATGACCCGCAACTAATCCAACAACATGTGTTTTCTGGAGCTAATATTCTACCAAAAGGAAACATTTTTTGTTTTTTGGCATGTTTTATGATTTTACCAAATTTTCATCACAACATTCGGATATCATATTATTTGCTCCAGACATGCGTAGCCCAGTTTGTATAAATAATCATTATTACATTTATAATATTTATTTTATTTAAATTAATTAAGTATATTAATCAAAGTTTATGTCACGTCAAAATGCTAGTGTATAATTTTTTAGTAAAAGTAGCTTTATTAGACGACTTTCCATCTATCTATCATTGGTTGGAGCATTTCACACAGCATTAAATCAATCTAGCATTTATTAAATTATTATATTCTTTATTTTTTCAAATCAATTGTAATTTTTTATTATTTTCTTTTCTTTTTCTTATTCTAAACATTTTTATATTTTTTTAGTCTCTCAAATTTACTTTGGAATACAAACAAACTAAAAAACGTAATTAGGAATCATTGTCAGAGATTCTATAATATATGAAAAGGACGAAAAAGACATTATATTATTTCTTATCTTAATTTTTTTAATATATTTAAAATAAATAGACTTGAAAATATTCATCAAAACGAAAATTGCTTTGATAGTGTGTTTAAGATAAAATTAAAAATTTAAACTTACTTAATGGATAGAATGAGCACTTTAAAAAATTTAAAATGTGAGCTTATGTATAAGATATAAAGGTTTTAATAGTTATAAAAGATAATTTTTTATATTTTATAACATTCATCTACAACATAATTATGGCACTGTCACATTTCAATGATATATCATCGCTGAAATTAAATTATTGTTGATTGGTTAAAAGATTTTAAATGGAAGTGAAGGAAGATGAATTTAAAACTAATTAATTAATCACTAATATTTATGAAAAAAATTAAATGAACAACAAGAGAAAAAGATCGCAATATTTTTTTTAATCTGAAAAACATTTTAAAAAACCATTAACTAATTGATTATGACATAAAATAATGTTGAATTAAATAACCGTGAATAATTACTAAAAGATCTCTAAAGTTTTAAATTATTATTTAGCTTAAGAGAGTTTAAATTCTTGGTTAACGTAAATAACATGATGACTTTTATAGTAAAATGACAGAAGAAAAAAATATGGTTTTAAAAAATAACGATAAATTAGGGTTGTTAATACTTTTCTAATTTTAAATTAACTTAAATATCTTCTTGGTTCCTATATATTTTTTTAAATAGACAATTTAAGTATTTTGATCTTCAATCCTCAATTTTCTTTTTAATTATTTGATCCTTAAAATATGTATATATGGGTGGATCACATCTAGGCAAAGTCACACTATTTTTCATGTCATGTTTTTATTAGTTTTTCAAACAGTAGAATTCAATTTATTTATTTTTAACTTAATAAACTAAAATAATTTTATAAGAAAAAAAGGAGCAAAATATTCCAATAAGAAAAAGTACATAGATTTTTTTTATTTTTTTTTTGTATCACGAGGTATAATAATGTTATGTTTCGCAGGTAGCATTTCTGGTCAAAAAATTTGACACCTTACCTTACCTTACCTTAGCTTCCGACCACAGCCATGTCAGCGTTCATGTCCATTTCCCACAACCTTAAACCCGCCATATTGGTCACCCCTGCTCTTCACCACTCTTCCTCATTCCCAATACGATTGACTTTCAAACCACCCTTTTCTCCCACTCTTCCTTTAAATCTCACCCGAAGACTCTTCCTTCCATCGGTTTCCGGCATCTGGGACGCTCTCACCGGCGCCAATAACAATTCCCGTGAAGCCGTTCATGCAATTCGACGCGGGATGTCTCTTTTCCGTCAGGTTTATTTCTAAATATGCTTCTTCATCCTCACCTTTTGTTTTTCCCTCTTCTTCCACTTTTAGTGTCACGTATCACGTATCATAGCTGCTTATTTGTGTTATGCTGTGCTTCTGGTACTCATACAACATTTTTTACGCTAACACTTTTTGTGTCTATCCCTGTTCGTTACATATTTATTAGAACTGTTATATGAATTGTTGTACAAGTACCATTTCTGGTTAATTTATTGTTAAGGGTGATGTTTCGGGGTCTCTCGTGGAGTTCGACAAGGCAATTCAGTTGGATCCTCGTCAAAAGGCGTGTAGGTTTATACACTCTTGGAAAACGGTTCTATGAATTCACTTTGTTATTTCGGTTTTGAGACATTGTGATTGTTACCAGATCTTTGGCAAAGGGGCTTGTCACTTTACTACCTTAATCGGTACATACTTACACTATACCTAATAATACTTTCTCTATTTAACTTTAGGAAAGAATCACTGTTGAATTTTTTATAACAAAGTCAAATAAGTGTGGTTTGGGCATGCACAACTACAATGTGCTTGCATGAGTGAAAATAATATGACAAAATAATAATATATAATTGAATTGCAAACATTATCTTATACAATAAGAAAAAAATATTCGGAGAAAAATATGGGAACAACTTAATGATTTGAAGATCTCACATGAACGGAGGTGAAAGAGAGCAAAGGGAGAGCATGAAGCCGGAAGAGAATCAGAGAGAAGATAACGGAATGTGTACATCATTTTATATGGAAAAAGAAAGATAAGAGTCAATAACAAAGTTACAACAGATGCGCAAATTATTAAACTAATAATAGAAAAATACAAAGAATTATTAGAAATATTCTATGGGAAAGGAGAATGGTTGGGGCTGTTAAGTATCAACAAGAGAAATAGTGACATATACAAGTGACTTTTGTAGGATTAATTTAGACAATTTTCAATTTCTAATATCCAAAGAAGACTGAATTGGACCCCTTCTATTGTAGACTTGAAGAGGGAGCTCAGCAGTTTCGGTTAGATGTTGCGCAAAATCCAAATGACACGGAAGAGTCCATATGGTGCTTTCTGTGTGAAGCTCAACTGTATGGAATGGATGAAGCAAGGAAGAAATTTCTTGAGGCAAGTAGTTGATTCTATTTCTAGCCTCTAGGAATTAACATGAAGATGGAATGTGTAAATATGCAAATAATTATCCACTTTCTAAATGAATTTAGGTTGGCACAGACCCAAGGCCAGTCATGCGGGAAGCATATAACATGTTCAAAGATGGTGGGGATCCTGAGAAGGTACGCTGTAGTGGCATTTTTAATTAGTATGCAGTTATTTCTGTTAAATATAAAACCATGCTTAAGTCTTCCCCTTATATCTTCAGCTAGTCTTAGGAGAGTTGCTATTGGTCCTTGACAATTCTAAAGCATGCCAGTTTTATGTTTTTTTTTTTTTTTTATTGTTGTCTTCATGCACAGTTCCGTCATAATCTGGTGATCCTTCCCAGATATTGAGTCCTTTCAGAGATACTTAAACTAAGATTATGTTGGCAATTTGTTAATCTGGTCTGATTTTCACGAATTTTGATATATTTTGTAGGAAAGATTGTTTAACATCCCCTATGATTTTACTCAACTACACAAGCCTTATGCAATAACATAGCACCTATATACCTTCTGTTAACATTGATCACCCCTGTTTATATTGTTCTATGAAGTGAGGGAGATTGGTGTAATGTTGAAAAATGAGCGGTTTCAATTGTAAATATGTTAAATCTCAGGGGTGTTAGAATAGTGTATTCTATGTCTTATGTTTGCACAAATGCCAAGCTTGTCATCTTGAAGATTAATCAATATTCTGTTATGCCCCACGTGAAGCGGACATTGCTTTGTTCCTCAGCAGTTCAGCCTATTATTAACTGTAATATAGAATGTACAATGAAAAATTCACTTCCTTTTAGTGACTGAAATAAGAAGTAGAATATTAGCAGAGAGGACTTTCTAGTGCTGATATTTATCATTAGGGATCTGTTAACCACATCAGCGGCACATTGACAGAGACTAGATTATATCAAGTAAAAAACTAGGAAGATGACATTATTCTAATTGAAAATAGAAACTCAATTTTAACTGTTTTAGAAGTAGAAATGGAGGACCAAAAGTGCAAATAGCCTAATTTTGTTTCACTTTTTAATGTGAGCTTTGGATTCCATAGTCTCTTTTTCTAGTAAAAATTTGTATATTTGACAGTTATATCAAGATATCATGTTTACAATTTTTGCCTTCTCTTTGTTTATTTGTTCAGAATCAGAATTGTAAACTTAAAATAAGGTTTGCAGTACTTATCTACTTTCAGTTCCCTGCATATGCACTAGAATATTTTTATTTTGACTTGGTTATTGGCACTCCATTATTCCTTTGGCCTCTGTAAATGTAATCTGACGCGGACAATTGATTTACCTGTCTAGCTAGTAGCTGCGTTCTCTGGTAGAAGAGATAGTGAGTATTTTTATGCTTCATTGTATGCTGGGCTCTATTACGAATCTCAGGTATTCTTGCAACTTCCAATCTCAAACATATTAAGTGATTATATAGTCGGCACAATGATTGATATTATTACCCAAATGGAACTCTGGCGGTTGTTTATGTAGACTCTCTTGAGTGGAATATTTATGGGGATGGTAATTTGACAGAATTTATTTTGTTATTTATTTAGTTTCTTACATAAGGAAAAATCAGATATATGCTGTTGAAATAACTATTGTGCGGAGCCTTGCCCTTTCCAATGTATAAGGTGTTAGGTAAAATTAATAATAAGATAATTAGAGTTTATTTTAACATTTTGTAACTATTGAAAGTTTAGTAAGTGATGTTATTGAGGACCATTATTATAGAACGTCTTGGATTATAGGGAGTTAATATTTTGGTTTCTAGAGAGTTAATAATAGGAGATTTTGGGAGTGTTTAAATACATAGTTGTAATCTTGTTTTCAATCTCATAAAGAATAATAAAAGTGAAATTTCTAAATTTTTGAGAAATTCTTTGTTATCAAATTGGTATCCAGAGCTTGGGTTTTGGGCTGGTTTTTGAGAGCTAGGGCTTTTGAGAAGTTTTAAAAAAGTGAGAGCTAGTTTTTGAGTGTCAAAGAAGTGAGATGACTGATCGGATAAATGCTGGTGCAGTTGTGTCCCGACTTACATGATTAGATCTCTTGATGCCTATGAACGCCGAATGGAGAAAGATAGTGGTGGTCGGTCCCAAGGTGGCCGATCTGGATGATTTGGATTCAGTGATTGAGGTGACGAGAAGGAAGAGGGGGCTCAGCAAAATTGGCAAGGAAGAGGACATGGACTGCGAGGAGGTCGGTTAATGAACCATTCAAATGTCGAGTGTTTCAAGTGTGGCAAGTATGGTCACTATGCGAGTGATTGTTACTCGGAAAAGATTGCTACTCGGGAAAATGTTTTAATTATGGAAAGGAGGGACATTTTGCGAGAGAATGTCAAAAGGTAGGTGAAACCTATCTTGTAGAGGAGAAGGAAACAAGAGTAACATTATTGATGGTCGATCTTAATACGGGAATTTGCAGTGAAGGAGTTTGGGAAGATACCAATCACAGGTCGATATGGTTTTTAGATACGGGTACAAGTAACTACATATGTGGGGACAAACACCTATTCAATAAATTGAAGAAATTTAAGGACGATCATGTGTCATTTGGAGATATGGCTCAGAGGTCTCGGTATTCTGCTCACATGCATTGAAAAGAAACTCGGATCGAAAGTTTGGAGGCCGGCCGAGAAGTTTTGAATCTTGCTGATCTTAAGTTTTCTTTAATGCAGAGAATTAATTTTACGGGAGGTTTTGTTAGGTAAAATTAATAATAAGTTAATTAGAGTTTATTGGAACTTTATAATTGTTGAACATTTAGTAAGTGATGTTATTTAACAATTATTATAGAACGTTTTGGATTTTAGGGAGTTAATATTTCAGTTTCTAGAGAGTTAATACTAGGAGTTTTTGGGAGTGTTTAAATAGAGAGTTGTAATCCTATTTTGAGTATGACAAAGAATAATAAAAGTGAAGTTTATAAGTTGCTGAGGAATTCTTTGTTATCATAAGGTTGCTATTGTTACCAACTTTGCAATAATTCAACATGATCTTCTTTGCATGAATTAATTCTTTAATAAAGAGCTCATTTTCTCAATATTGGATTGTTTAAAATATTTAAGGTACAAAATCCTTGGATTGAATTCCTGCAATTCCTTTAATTCTCTTTCTGAGTACTTTGCATGGTGATTCATTTCCACCATAAAATGCATGGACAAATATTCATTGGTTTACGCACTTTCTTGTTAGTTTTTGGAATTGATAAGACATTTACAAGGTTGAAGAAAGTGCACCAAACTGAATATCGTGTATTAACATGCCATCTTGGACTACGTCAGAAGATTTATACTATTTTAAGGTTTTTTATTTGGTTTGAAGCTGACTTATGAATTAGTGAATGCGTGCTAATGATTTTTCCATGGGTAGAACGAAACAGATGCTGCTAAAGTTCACATAGTTGCTGCATGCCAGTCTTCTTATGGGCAAAGGTTTGGTTTTGAATATGTACACATTTCTTACCAAGTCAAAAGAGTGCAAATTCGGAACATGAAATGCACATTCATTCTTTAATACAGGTCTGATGATTATATGGCTTCTCTTTCCAAGGTTCACTGTCTCTGTCGAAATTGGGTCTTCAACTAAAACTTTTTGCAGTGTGTAAATTGTTCACGGTGAAGCTGATTCATAAGTGTCTCTATTTACTGCACACAACATCTTGTGAGTTAGAATCTGCTGGAACGGTTAAAAGAATTTATCATAATTCCTTTATTCCTTTATCATTTTGTGGCCTATAGAATTGTAAAGTTTGTAAACATGAAATTTATTTTAATAATGAAGGTATCTTTAAATGAGTAATCTACTATTTGGTTTCTAAAAAGGTTGATTTATCACCAATGTAGTCTTCCAAATAACTCTTTGGATCACTATATAGGTTTAATTCTCTTAGGGTACATTCCTCCATCTGAAAGAAAAGAAATACTTACTAATTTCTCCCCTTTTATTTTAAAAACCAACATTATCACAATTAGGTTTTTTTTTGTTATGTATAATGTTTTATTGAAAAAGAAGAAGGAAAGAAACAGTTAAATAATCTAGTAACTTGAATCCATCGCTCACGATCACTACCTAAATTACCTAAAACTCTTGTCTTATAAGGATTACAATGATTATAATGATGGTTTTAGGTATTGCTTACAGTGATAATAAGGACGAGATGGTGACTTGCATGGTTTTAGGCATTGATATTTTAGTGAGTTGTTTCTAGGTGTTGATGATGATGATGATGTTCAGTACCACATATTTTTTATTAATCTCAAGAAAAGAGGACGATATCTGAAACTTCAAGCCAGAGTGATGGATGATATTTGGGTCTCTGTCTCACTAAGTTGATGTCCAATAACTTCTGGTTTAACATAACTCATTTTATGTACGAGACTCGTTTAGACCTGAGGCGGAGGGTTTGTTTTTCAAGCAAACCCTTCTTTCTTCTGACATATTTTTCAACCAAGGTTATGTTTAGTCTTTATTTTTCTCTAGGATATCATAGACGACGTCGAAGACACCAAAAGTAAAATGATGTCATCAGGACTTTTACACATTATATCTTTAATAGTTTGTCCAATCACTTGTCTTACCCTGCCACTGGCTGCTTTTCTTTTGTTTCTTTGACTCCAACTTGGTGAATGAGTTTGCAGACCCAACTTTGTTCTGACACAAGACCAAATAAGCAAATTGTTTTCTCTTCTTTTTCTTTTTCTTTTTTCATTTTTGGGGCTAGACTGTTGCAAAGCTAATTGAGTAGAAAACAAAAAACCGAATTGCACATGATTTCCTTCTGGTCCTATGAATAACCTGGCGCCGCAATTTAAGATCAAAATAATCTTCAATCCTGCTTTTGGATTGTGACTTGGCTCCTTAATGATGGAATATAGAATCAATAATTGTCCATTGAGGTAAGATGCTGCTGATCCCTACTAACTTGAATTTATTATTATTAAGGAATACCAATCATATGTCATTTTGGCATATTCTCACTCACAAGAATCAAAACTTGGATATTCTCTTCCAAACTGAAGGATATACCAATGTGCATGAATTTTCGTCACTTCTCGTTTTATGGATAAAAAAGTTCAATGACAATAACGCTATCAGGGGACCTAAATCATCTCAAGGATCAAATCATTAGAAACATACAAACTTTTGCCATTTTATTTTTCAACTTCGTGTGCTACTTAATTCTATAGCCAAAAAAAAAATTCAATATCATTTTAACATCCAAGTATTATTTATTACTATAGTACATAAAAAATTCCAATTCTATTAGATCAGCAACTTCAAAAGTTTTTTGCAACATCAGATGTTTTTGCTTACGCCGTTTTGTTTTCATATTTTTTTCTAACTCCATTAAATTCTTCTGTAAATTAATTAAAATTTATAAAATAAATTTTATTTAAATTTCACTTTATCTGAACACCCAACAATTTAAAAAACATAGCAATTACTTTCAATAATTTAATATAGTATGAAATATTTGTGAGTTACCCTACCGGAAAGTGAAGAAATGGGAACCTCTGACAAAAAACTATAAAATCCGCAACATCATTGTCCTTTGCTTCATTAAAAAAAGTAACGTGTTTTGAACTTAACTCAAGCCGTGAAGTTGCTGGCTCCCACATTCCCATGTCGTCTGAGCCTCTGATTCCACTATCGGAAGCATTGTCAGCTTCTCACTCCCTCCGGCGATACGGCGAAGATGTGTGGATTTTCGACGAGTTGCCGAAGGCCACCATCGTTTCCGTGTCGAGGCCAGAGACCGGGGACATTAGCCCAATCCTTCTTTCTTATACCATTCAGTTGCAGTACAAACAGGCACACGCTCTCGCTTGCTTCTTTCTAGTTTTCATCTCACTTTCTATGTACAATTGATTTTAATTTGTCGATTATTTTTTTTACAGTTTATAAGCTTGTGGTCCAAGTTATTGGCAATCATGCCACTAGTGATCTCGTGAATGTTATTACTTTTTTTTATCTTAGTTCAATGTTATTTATCCAATTTGAGCGGGAAAGATGAATGAACTTCTCTAGTTTTGTTCTGTTTTGTTTGCTAAATGGGGTAATTTCAATTTCTTTTGCGACTTTCTGAATCCAATTGTTTAGACGCATTCAATTTAATTACTCTTAGGACTACTTGCTAGAGACTAGCCACAAATATCTAGTCTTATGCTATTGAGATGTTCCGTCCACCGTTGTGGACTAAAATTATGTCTCTAAGTTGATTTGTAAGCTCAAATTCACTTTCTAATATTTTATTAGAGCCTATCCTAACATGAAGGGTGTGTTAGATCATCGACAAGAGATATGATTAATTTATAGGATTGAATTAGGTCTAAATTCACTTCCTAGGAATGTAATACTATAAAAGCAAATTAGTATATTGCTTATTCAAATATGAGTTTACTAGGCATCTTTTAAGGAAGTTGTTATAGATGTTAATGAATTTAGTGTGTATATGGTCATTTGTAGTTGAAAGACATTGTAAACTATTTTTATATAGTATTGTTTATTCTTTTAAGTATTTTGTGCTATGCCTTTAGATACTCCTTTAGTAGTAAAAAAACATTTTTTTATTTATGATTAGCATCTATGACTGAGTCTGGATTTTAACATGTATATCTGTAAATCTGTGTCTTTAAATGCATACCTTCAACGGATTTCATTTGTTCAAAAATGATATAAATGTCAGTTATTTACACTTTACACCTAAATTATTTATATCCTGTTGGGACGTAGACTATAAGTTTTTGATGTATTGAATTATGATTAAAGTGGTGCAGTTCCAATCCAACATCCCAACTAATTTCTAGGTAACTCTTACATTTGTATTTTACAGTTTAACTGGCAGCTAGTGAAAAAGGCGTCACAACTTCTTTATTTACAGTTCTGCCTGCGGAAACGTGCACTAATTGAAGATTTTCATGACAAGCAAGGACAGGTTTGCGTTTTAATTTTGCAGAGTTCTTTTTTTCATTTAATCTTTGGTCCTCCTCAATCTCACACATCCACTTACAGGTTCTAAAACCTGGTTCTTTATCATGTTACTCAGTTGTTATTAAGTGAAAATACATGTTGGCAATACTTTAGTTTTTGGTCCACCTCTACTCTACTCCCTGATATTCTTAAAGTCTCTATATCTTAGATATAGATCTCTTTAGTGTTTAGTCATGGTTTCACGGAACCATCAAAATCAAAACAGATAATATTTCGATGTGGTGATTATAATTATGTTGACGAACTTGAGTTTGAGGTGTTTCCTTCAATATATTTGATATGTATGCTTCAGCCTAATTTCTATTGTAATACAACTTGTGAAGTTAAAAGAATGGCTTCAAAACTTGGGAATAGTAGATCAAACGGTAATGGAGCAAGAAGATGAAGTACCTGATGATGGAGCTGTGCCTTTACATAATGAAGACAGTGTTAAAAACAGGTATTTTAATTTGGTAAATGCTAACCGATACTTTGAGGGTAATGGTTTAAGTAACTAAAAATGGGAAGTTGTTTTATTGGGATACATAAAAATGTGTTGCTCTATTATTTTCAATGCGCTCCATACTCATTAGTTTGGTCTTTGGTGAAGATATGTTCCATCCGTTGCTGCTCTATCAGTAATTCGTCCATCACTAGGAGGGCAGCAGTCAATTGCCGATAGGGCCAAAGTCACAATGCAGGGTTATTTGAATCGTTTTTTGGGAAACTTGGATATTGTGAATTCTCAAGAGGTAACAAATGAAACTTCAAAGTTGACAATTGTTGGATTTGATTAGATAATAATGCTTAGCAGACCTCGTAGGCGATGTTGGTTATTGATGGCATTAAGTAATGTGTATATATGTATGTATATATCAAATTGGTTTACATGATAAAACTGTTTTTTATTGTCTCGTCTTGTCTAGTTCAAGACCTGTGCCTAGTTTTATAGAATTTATGCAACAGGAATCTGTTTTTTCTTCAGTGTGTTCTACACTTTTATATAGAACTAACTAACTTTATGCTCCTTTACCATGTACCTAATGTGACTTCAACAGAGCTAAAATTATCTTTTGTAACGTATGGTTTTGGATTACAGGTCTGCAAGTTTTTGGAAGTCTCCAAGCTATCCTTTTTACAGGAGTATGGTCCAAAACTGAAAGAGGGATATGTAATGGTGAAGCATTTATCAAATATTTCACAGGATTCAGATGTATCATGTCTTCCATGCAATTGGTTTCATTGTTGTGATAACAACTGGAAGAAGGTTTGTTACAGAAGTTTATTTTTGGTGATAATAGCTACTTTAGTTTGTTTGGTTGCATAATATTCTGAAGTAAAATGAAGGTGCAGTCGTGGACTGAAATAATCTAACCGACCAACTGGACCTTTGGATTTAGTACTTCTCTCATATTTTTTAACACTAACTACAAAACTTTTCAGTGATCTTTAAATATAAATTTTTCATGCCTTCATCTCGTAAGTACTTGTACTTGTCTTCTTATTTTCAATTGTCTTAAGTGGAATATAGCATTACATTTTCATGTGACATACATTTAATTCCAACCTTGCTATGAATATTTGCAGTCACATCTTTTGCGTTACTAAATTTCATTGATGAATGCTCCAATGCTAGCTAGGCATATCATTTTCCACTCCAGAAACATAAATGATGTAAATTGGGGTTGTTAGTTTCCGTTTTTAGGATTTTTTATTTGGTATTATTTTGTTTGGGAATTTCATTCTGTTAGGGGTTTTCATCTTCTTGTTTGTGGATTCTATCTTATTTGGGATTTTATTTATTAGGCCTATCTGATTTTTTAGTCAACCTTAGGAATATTCCAGGTTTGTCAAGGATGTATCCTGCCAAGAGGTGTACTCCTGGATTTTTTTCTGCATCAATAAACTGTTTGTGTAATGGGGGAGAAAATTGAGGGATGTGATCAACAGAAAATTTGAATTTTACTGTCATTATATCATGCGTATAAATTTAAAAATCATTGGATTTAAATGCCCATTACTTAATGTTTCAAGTCTTTAATTCTATATGGACCTCGTGACCTACCAAGTTTTTTTTTTTTATTCTTTGGGGGTACATTGTGACCTATCAAATTTATTAACATTAATGGTTAGTAATTTCCATGTTTTAACACAATGTTAAATTAGGGACAAATTTAAAATATATAATACCTGTGATATTGAAATGCCTCTTTATGGTTATATATGGTCGTCTATAGCTTTTTTCTTTTTCATTTAATCTTAATTTTAATCTAGAAATTGTTGTCTGCACAGGTATGGGCTGTTGTGAAACCTGGGTTTTTGGCCTTCCTGGATGATCCCTTCAACAGCAAACCACTGGATATAATTATTTTTGATATCCTTCCTTCCTATAACGGAGATGGAGGGACCAAATTATATTTAGCTGATCCTGTAAAAGAACGCAATCCTTTGCGTTATTCATTCAAGGTAGTAAAAGATTGTCTCCTAGGGAAT